GTGAAAAATACCAAACATATATATTCTAAATCATATTTTTGTGACTGACAAAGGAGAAATTTTGACATTCAGTGATACTGAGTCACATGGGAATGAACTAGGTCACTCTTCAACATATTCTCATCCTCTTCATGTAGAGGAAATCTATAATCCTAATAGTAATTGCTACCTACCTTCAAAGCACCAGGGAAAACAAAGGAAATGGGGAAGAAAACAAAGGATTAGTTCTGGGGGTTTTTTTAGCCCCCAGCATGTATTTCTAGTGTTTGCATAAGCCTTCTTCCACTTTTTAAGGCATATACCTCAGAGAATTAGAAATGGAGTATCTGCCTTTGTTACTATTTGAGTTATCTTACAGAAAACATTCCATTTGCTTTCTCTATGCTCAAAAAGCTTGAAATGCTCTCTGTGAAGTCTGGTGATGCCAATTCAATCAGGATCTGTTTTAAACAAACAAATTCAAAAGGTTAATTAATATTTAAATGTGACCTTTCTATTAGAAGAAGTAACTAAGTAATTCTCTTATTCCAATCTTCTGCATATTCCCTAAACTGTAATGGTATTTCTATTTTCTTTACTTCAATTTTGCAATGCATCTGGCTGTTTTTTCCTTTCTTTTTACATGATGCTATTCTTTGAAAAATCTCTTAGCAAAAGATCTTTCTCTTTTAGCTTGTCTAAAGCCAAGTTGACAAATACCATAATCACTCCAGAGAATATTTCATGTCCTCCATGTAGTCTGTAATAATAAAATTATCTCTCTGCATGAGAGGACCTGGCAGCTCTTCTGCTCTTGTCTAATAACTAGTCCTCCATCGTTAATTTAGTCTTCCCTTTACAGAAACTACTTTTCAGTGGTGCTCAGAGAATGATCTTGTCAGACCAAGCCCATGCATTTGCCCTATAGAATACCTAGAAGGCCAAGAACTCCATATCTGTTTCAATACGAGGTACAGCAGGTTCTCCAGTACATATTTATTTGCTTAAATTAATACAATACAACATACATGCTTTTACTATTGAGACAGAAAGTCAGAAACTAAAGATCCACATATAGTTGGTTCACTTCAGGAGCTGTGGCTTTAAATAGGAACTCGATGTCCTACATTAAATAAATACGCAACACATTATTTGCAAAATCTGTTAGGAGTACAAAATGTTAGCTCTGTTACATCTTGTTCAGCTAAGCAGACATGACATTTTCAAAATTGTTAATAATTATTAAAACTTCTAGGAATAATAAATACGGTACTTATATTACTTCTTAACTGTACACTCCAAACAGCAGAGTCCAGCAGCACCATATGAAGAGAGAAATCAAAGAATAGATAGTAGACAAACACAGAGTTGTAAAAACGTGGGTGCAGTAGCGTTCATTACTTGGTCTTTCCAGTAACCTGTTTTACAGGAAACAGCATAGGATAAACTTTAATTATGATATTGCTATAAAGTATTTTACCCTTTGAGCTTCTGAACACAGAGCACCTGTCTTTGCTGCCACAAACTGAAGGCTGTCTGGCAGCCAGGAAAATTCAGTTTCACAAGGAGACGGCTGAGTCCTTATGGCCAGACTGAAAGCACCTTGTTCCAAGGTCACCTACAATTTCGCTTTCCTTGTAAAGGGAAAGTTGTCTATCTTCACCCTTAAACTTTACAAGCCCAGATTTCGGCTTTTCCTCCCCATATTCTGTGCTCCAAATTGTCTTGCAGAACTCTCCCTGCTACCCTTAACATCAGAAAAGCCTCTAACTTAACAAACCACATGCCTTCACTTGCCAGACTCATTAAGGGAGAGCAAATTTATCTTTCCTCAGCCTGACTTCTGGAAGCGTCTCAGCTGTGCAAGTTTGTAGCCACTCTTACTTTCTGTAATGCTGTTCAAAAGGATGAAACATGGCTGCATAAACAATGCAGGGAAATTATATAGCTGTGCTTTTATACAGAGGTGGTGGAGACTGGGCTTTAGTTTCATGTGTCCCCATAAACTGAAAACCTGAATAATAGTAAGATAAAGACTTTTTTTCCCCACAACATAGCTAGAAGACAATAGAAAAACTTACATTAGGAATAAGAAAAAGAAGAAAATATATCCCCCAATGTCCAGGACATAGGCAATGTCCCTATTGGACTTCTGAGCCTCTACACAAGGCAAAATAAGGAAGCTAGTCCCTTGAAAGTTACAAATGGGAAATAGCTTCATTATGAGAGCAAATTTCTATAAAGCATTTTCAAAGCTATTAAAAAGCAAAGGCTGTTACTGTCTGTTCCCAAAGCAGTGCCAATGTAAATAATGTGAAAATAACTTATGTTGGAAAAGCAAGGTGCTTCACAATGAAGGCTGTTATTTCACTTTTAATTTGACCCTTGAGGCCTCTCTGTAACAAGTGTCTTAGACCCATTTACATTACGTTCTACAGTAGTAAAAACTGTCATCTCCTTACCCCTTTGCTTGGATCTTCTTACCTCAGTAATAATTTTGTTTGTAATTTGTCGTATTGATAATTTACAGTTTTAATGAGGGTTTTTTTGCTATTCTAACATGAATTAGACTTGTGTGCTCGAGAATTGGCTTAGTGTGACTTTGTGACTGGGCAGAATCTCAAAGTCTCATTGTAAAGAACTATTCTGGTTGCTAGAAAAATGTGATGAAAAGAGGTTCACATTATGAATTGCTTGCATGTAGTATTGCCATTCTGGAACTCTTTTCCATCTTTGTATGTGGTTGTCAGGTGCTTCTGCTCCAATGAGAACTGCAACTGTAGAAGTGTGTGAATTGACTGCAGTGTGGTTGAAGGAGTTAGGATTAACCATTTAGACAACCCAGAGCTGTCTGCAGCAATTTCCTTTCCTAAGGACACATCTGGCACATTGTCTAACAAGGTCAGTAAGGAAACTCTGGACTGCATGCTTCCAGTAGACATAGTTTTTGCAGTCGCAGAATCACATAATCACAGAATCATTTAGGTAAGAAAAGACCTCTAAAATCATTAAGTCCAACCTTTGACCAATCACCACCTTGTTAACTAGACTAAGTGCCACAAGCAGTCATTTCTTGAACACCTCCAGGGATGTTTTCTGGCTTGCTGCCCTTCTCTGGGCACGATCCAGCATCTCAAGGTCTTTCTTGGAGTGAGGGGCCCAGAACTGAGCACAGGATTTAAGGTGTGGCCTCACCAGTGCCAAGTACAGGGGGACAATCCCTGCCCTGTTCCTGCTGGCCACACTATTGCTGGAACAGGCCAGGATGCCACTGGCCTTCTTGGCCACCTGGGCACTGCTGGCTCATGTTCAGCTGCTGTCACCAGCACCCCCAGGTCCTTTTCCTGAGGGCAGCTTTGCAGCCACTCTGCCCCAGCCTGTGGCACTGCCTGGGGTTGTTGTGACCCAAGGGCAGGACCCAGCACTGGCCTTGTTGAACCTCACACCACTGGCCTTGGGCCATGAATCTGCAAAGTGAATGAAGGGACTCTCCATCCCCTCATCCAGATGATTAATAAAGATATTAAACAGGGCTGGGCACACCCCAGAGAGCACCCTTGGTGTCTGTCTTCCAGCTGCACTTAACCCCATTAACCACCACACTGTGGGCCTGCCCATACTGCCAGGTTTTTACCCAAGTGAAGAGTACATCTGCCCAAGCCATGAGCTGCCAGCTTTTCTAGAAGTATGCCGTGGGAGATAGTATCAAAGGCTTTGCTGAAGTCCAGATAGAATACATCCTTTGATATTAGTGGCTGGGCACTGTACTCTGCTGAAAATGTCTCCTCTGAACTTAACTGAAGGAGTTGCTCCTGTTTCTGAGGGACCATTTAGTAGACCATGCTGAATTTCTATCTGATCATTCTCCCTATAGTATAAGAAAGAATACAGTTACACTCGTTATTCTAAAAAATTTATACTTTTTTTGCTTGGCGGCAATGTCTTCCTTGAAAGAAAGGTGGCTCTTTTTCCAATGGGCATTGTCTTACAGCTAAAGTAAGGATGAGGAATGTTTATGATAGAACAGTTCACCCCTGAAGAAACATTACTATATACCTCTAAAATACACTTCATTTTCAGTGACTTTTTAAAGTTTAAAGTGACCTACCTTCCAGTTCACTTTGGCATAACATTTATATTTGAAAAATTACGCACATCAGACATAGAGTTAATTTAGTAGAGTCACCTGGATGTTATTCCTTCTTTTATCAACAGCTTTTTCTGCCTGAGCTTCTGCATGTGTTATGCCACATTTGAGCCTTGAAAAAGGAAAACACTGCCTGCAGCTTTGGACTACACAAATGTAGTTTTATAAGAGGAATAAGGACTTTACCCTGTGAATGCTGATGAACTGGTAAGTGTGAGGATCATTAATTTGAAATGTGTGTGTCTTCTTATAGAGGCAGAGAGCTGCGGCCGTATGACTTGTCTTAGCAAGCCATAAGTAGGTGACTTTATTTAATTATAACTTGCTATATAGAGAGCGTGATTGCAATGCATTTCTAATCAAGAACATGGCAGGTAAGTGAAGAAGGTAGTAATATTTGGAAGAGATGTACCATATATACGGATTTTAACCTTTTGAGCTGGGATGTCCAAAGGACAAATTTTATGATTAATTAATTTTTTATTTCCCTGTAAGCAATAGGATGGTGCAGGGCTGCTTTTTGTCTTTCTTGAAGATGCAGGAACTAATATGCTGTTCAAAGTATTCATGCAATTAATGAAAAGTTTAATGGAATATGCTTTCTCCATGTTTGTTATGAACTTATAACTGTATGGGAATCAGAAGGTGAAAAACTGAGTTTGACTCCATAGAAACAACATGAGTGAAATTTATCTGAAAGGCCTGCAGTTTACTGCTCAAGATGTGTACGAGAAGATTTCTGACCCAAATAAGAGGATGGTTTTCCTCTGTGAGGCACTACTTGTTCTGTGAGAGTGATTTTTACTTTCTGAAACAAAAATTTATCAGATCTATGTATTTCAAAAGTATCCTTATAATCATGATAAACTGAAGAGAAAAATGGCAAAGCTGCATAATTTTTTTCAATTAAATTACTCGCACCGTGTTATGTGTAACTATGGCAAGATTGTGAATGCTGCATGCTGATGCTGCCCAGTAAACGTATTGGTCTAAGCAGGCAGTAGAACAAAATGTCAATGAATGCTATTTCACTTCAAGAATTTCTAAATACTCTCATACTGGTTGAAATACAGCAAAGCATGAACATTCCTTGTGCCAGAGGTCTAGCTTTTGTACTAAATTCCAGTCCTTTCAAAGCCTTACAGAATTTTACTGCCTCTCAAGACATTAGTATTTCTATTAATTTGTTTCCCATTTTTCATTGTAAGTAGTTGAACATAGAGTCACTTCAGTAAATCAAAGTATTTGCGCTGTATTAGTTCTGAATGTTGACAGCATTTTCGTGCATGCCATTTTTAATAGTACTCTGTCTTATAATGTGAAATACTTCATATTTTCAGATATTTTTGAGGCATATGGTTAGAAGTGTTCATATATATTTAGTCAGATAATAAATCAGATGCTAAAGTATGGTGCTTTTTGCTAAGTAGAAAATTGCATGTAAGTATCTATCCCCATATAATAGGAAGTAAACTTCTGTACCCAACCCATTGTCTGTTATACATTAAATGGATAAATATAAAAGTGTTATTTTTCAATATCTATTGCATTTCTTGGTGACCTTGAGTTGCTTTATTCTTGTAATGTATGTGTTTTATCCTAAATTATTTTTAATAATTTGGCTTATTTATTTCTAAATACTACTACAGACTTCCAGGCTTTAGTAGCTTACAATTCATGTTAAAATTTCTCTTGCTACCATTTTCCAGCTGTTTTAAAATGTCCATTTTAAATGCCTATAAGCATTGTTTGTTTTTCCATTTTTCTTTCCAGCAATTCTTTCAAACTCTTGTTCCTGTGCTTGAAATACAAGTAATCAGAGAGAGAGTGACCAAGTCTGGCCTTTTCAAAGGATCTAAAGCTGAGATGTTCTTTGTTGTTTGCAAGCTCTCCCTCTCCACATCTCTCCTCTTTGTCTGAATTTCCTATTCTCTTCCCCAGTCCTCCCTCACTTAACGCCTCTTCCTTCTCATTGCAGTAGGACTCTCTGAAGTCCTTCATCATGCACTCAGGTTTGCCAGAGAGATCTTGAGCCATGTACAGCTTGTTGTCATCATGGTGGTACGTGGCAGGGCTGTACCGCTCTGCCCCATAGCAGTTGTCTTCTTCTTCTTCCTGGCATGAGCTTCCCTTGGCACTCTCACCATCAGAATGAAATGAGATTCCCTTCCCTTGGCTTTTCTGGGAAAGATCAAATGGCTCTTCCTGTTCCAAGCTTCTCAAGACATTGCTCTGGGACAGAGCAATCCTTCCTCTTCCAAAACCTTGTAGCGGTTTGAGGGGAGGAGAAAAGGGAAAAAAAAATATAAGGCAATTTTACTTCTTGATACATGGCTATAAACAAAATCTGAGGTGTCTTTGTATTTCGTATTTTACCTTTTTCTTCCATCCAGCTATTTTCAAGTACTTCACTGTTTACATCTCATGGCATCTCCTTCGAGATGTTGCAAGAAGGAGTGCTATTGCATACACTTCACAGCCAGGTTAGGACACACAAAACATTGTTTTGTACAGCCAGACTCTGGATGATGCAGCTGGGAAGCAAAGTGAAATGGTCTGGCCTTTTGTAAACCGAATTTTGCCAATCAACCTACTCGCTTCCACCTTCATGTTCTTTTTTATAAAAAAAAAACCCTTGGATCTAAATCATCACAGTCCATAATCAGAGGAGTTCAAGAGGCTACATGCATGGTAATGTATTTGTTCTATGGACACTGTGGTCCAAAGTTAATACTTTAAAAATGAAAAGACAACAGTCTTAGCAGTCCATAAGTCTCCTTAATTTTCCCCCTTTCATTCACTGAGAAACAATCAACTGAAAAGTTCTACACACTAGATAGTGCTTCAGCTTGAGGAAATCATTATAAACAAATGATTTTGAGCAGTGCATATAAATATGCATATAATCCTGGGTGTGGTTTGTCTTTGTATTTGTCAGTGTCTCCCCTCTTGCTGGAAATGCAGATTATCCAAGAGGAATTTGTGGTCTCAAAAATGCTCCAAACATCATCAGGATATATTTAAAAGAATTCGGATACTGCAGGCATATGCCAGCTTCATTAAAGACTAGTGACAACACAAGGTGAGGGTTTCACCCAATAGCAAATACCTGTGAAAGTCACTATTTTACTCACTTCCAATTTTTTCTTTTTTTTTTTTTTTTAATTTTCCACTCAATAATTGAATCTCGTTTCTGAAGAATCTATGCTGTCTCACTAGACAGCAGATGTTATTTTGCTACAAGGTATATTTGTTAGAAGGATTCACAAACAGGTATTAGGCCTCACAAATTTTCTCATATCTGGTAAGCCTCAAGGGCAGCAGAATCTCTGTACAATGAAAAGCTCTTAGGCAATCTCCAATTACAAGCAATTGTTTAACTAGCATGATGCTGTGGGATATTTACAGAAAAAAAACCACTTATTTCATTAGCCATTAGGGTCTTCATAAATTTTACACCAAATGTCATTAATGTTTTAGAAGTGTGCTAACCTGCCTTAAAGCTTGAACACCAGGAACACCAAGAAATCTTACCCATCAAAGGATTATTTATCTGCAAAATCTTAAAAAAACATATATTGGACACCCAAACCCTTAAAAAATTCTCCCTAATTCTCTCACTTCTTTAGATAGCATTGATCTGTGTACACCCATGAGGATGACTTCAGAAAGTATATGTGGTAGGCAGACTGGAAATGTTTTGCAGGATGCCCTCAGTAGTCAAAAATCCTTATGCTGTGAGATTTATACTTTGAGGAATATCCCCTCCTGTCCATGTGCTTCCTTGTAAATGGGATCTTGAGCCTATAGCCTTCATCTGACAACAGCTACGCCAATACAGTACAGAATGACCAAGGCTTCTGGATGTAGACCCATAGAGAATTCCATCCCTGTCCCAGACTGAAACCCAATAAGCAGTGAGAAAGGACCATAGGTGTTCCAGATTTTCTTTTTCTGTCAATTTAGGATTTTTAGGATTAATTTATTATTTATTTGGGACATATAACGCTATAGTTATATAGCAAATAACTTCACAGGCTTATGGGATTCTATCTCTTGCAATAGCATTGGATCTATGATATAAGTTTGTGGATCTGTAGTACACAGCCCATTTGTGTTTACTGATATGCATATTCAGATCTCACAGAGAATAATATTGCTGAAAATTATTACCTTGAGAGTGAAATCCTCTTTCCATGACCCCATGTTTGACTTTCATGTGCCGGGTTAGGTTCCCCTTCAAGGTGAATTTGCTGGGACAGTAGAGGCACTTAAATGGTTTACTATCTGAGTGCAAGTGCATGTGTCCCATTAAATTGTGCATTCTGTTAAACTCCTTTCCACATAGCTGTAAAAATGGTAAAAACGAAAATTATTAGTTTGAAGCAGTATTTTCAAGGTCAACATTTTCAAAGGAAATAGGACCTATGCTCCTCAACTTAAACCCTGGCAGGTTTTGGCTGCAATATTTTTCAAAGTTCCAGGCAAAAATCCTACAGGCAAAAACATATGGTTGAGTATTTAAGACATTCTGAACTGCTGACATTTTTTAATATTGGTGACCAGCACACATAGTCAAGGATTCCCCAAAAGCAGTCAGTGTTGTTGAAAGGAGGAGAAAGACTTAAGGGAGTAATCTGGAAGGCTCTTAAGTTGAATGTGATTCAAAGTACAAGTTTCTGCCCTGGTGAACCATTCCATTTGTAATTTATACATATAGACTTTACTCAAGAACAATATCAGGCAGAAATGGAATTATTAAACCAATTAAGGGTTTCTGTAAAACTCTTAATTCAAGTAGAATATTACTTCTCTTTAAATGGAAATTAAATGGCTGCACATTTTGCTTAAAGTTAGAAAAAGGAATTCCTTGTTTTTCTATGTTTCTTTCTCACCCATTTTTTCCCTCATTCTTTCATCATTTGCTTATCAACCCTTGTGCTTCGGTGTCTCTGGTGAGTAAGCTGCAATTTAAACAGTCATGAGGCTGCAAGAATGACTCAGCTTTCCCTGAAGCATGTTCCTGCCAGCTCAAGCCATTGATCGTGCAATATTCCTTTTGATGGAACAATAAGGGTGAGTTTTATTCATTGTTGTTTATTTAGATGAGTCCTTTTGTAGTCTGGACTCTTATGCATTCTTAAGACACTAGAGTTTGACATCACTATTACAGGCTTCCAGTCTTAATTGTCTTCTGGTCTTTCCTTATCAGGATTTATAATTTTATTCACATTCAAGTAGTCATTTCCATCCTCTGCAAACTTCTGTGTTTGCTTTCTACTTTTTTTTTTTCTGACTTGTTTTACCCTCGGATTTTAATTTTTTAACATTATTCTAATTACCACATGAACCAGAGTCACCATTACTGAGTAAGTGAAACCTTCATTTGACAGACAATTACTAACTAGAAATTACTAAGACTCCACCAGATTTTTTTGTTTCTCTTTCCTCATACTGAAAAGATGGAGCTTGGTAAAGGATAGTTCTTTATAGCATAAGTGTTCTGTGTGTCTGAATAAAGTTGACAGGTTTTCCATTTCCCAGAGTCAGGCACATCTTAGAGATGTGGAAATGTATTCTTGTCCTGAAATCTCCTCTGGGGACATGAGGAAATGATACTAGAGTGCAGAGGTGTGGCAGGAAAGTTAAAGAAATGCAGATAGGAAAACTGTTTTTCTGAATTATGAGTCTCTGTGGCATAATCTCTGTTTTACTGGTCATTTCAAAAAGGCATGAGACACCTTTCAGATGAATACCTATGATCCAGATGTAAAAGAAAGTAGATTTCTCACTCATATGCTGGAAGATTGCAACTCAAATCTAGCTGGAGTACACAGCTAACACTCAGTGAAGAGCCTGAGTCTGCAGATCAAATTAGAACATTGTACAAGATTTTTTTTCTCTCTGACATGACAGGCTTGTGAGCACTGACGAGCAAAGTGTGAAAGACGACAAGTTTGTAAGAGAACTTGGGATAACAGAACAACATGGTTTACTTGTGGACTTTCTGTTAGGCTGTATACTTTACAAAACAAAATTAAAGTCCTGAAGAGAGCACATCAAGTCTGCTGAACAGACTTTGTTGTCCTAGCTGGTGAAATGGACTTTAGTATAGTTTGCTCTAAAAGTCTACATTAGTTCTACCCTAGATTTTGTCCTCCTAAGCCAGGATGAAGTATCATCCTTCTAGATTTGTCACCTGTTTTGTTTCTTCTCAAAGTACTTCTCTCTCACATTTTCTTTGATTTTGACTCCTGCTTAAAACACACTTTGTAGATGGGGGGAAAAAGTGATGTTCAAAACATCTGTTGCAGATATTTGTCTGGCCTGAAGAAAAATCCATTGCATCTTTTATTGGATATCTAAAACATTGATTACTTCAGCACTAAAAGCAACAGTAAATTTCATGGAAACTTTCTCTATAACTCTAGGTTAGTACTGCTGCACCAGTTGGTGGAATGCCTTCATAACCCATCAGGTTTTTTTTCTTGAACAGAAATAAAAAAAGACACATGGGCTCAGGCCTTTAAATGCTACAGAGAAGTTCACTCTTCATAGGAAAATCAAACAGAGATCCAGGCTGCAGCTGGATGAGGAAACAGAAGGGACAACTATTTGCTACTCCCTCACTTTTGATAGTATGTGCTTAGCTGTGATTAGACACATAGGAAAGCTCATGTTTTCTTTTGCTGTGAGAAAAAGGTAAAGAAAACCATTGCATGTGGTGAAGTATAAAGGCTACTGCTGTGCTCTCTTTCCCTTGCATTCTTCTTCTTTTTTTTTTTTCTTCATAAGAAGGGTGTTCCTTTCCTCAAAGAAAGAAGGAGAGGGAGAATGACTGTAAACTGTCCAAAAGGACCGTGAGAAAACAGGAAGCTTTGAAAAGTACAAGAGAAAGCAAGATGAAATCTATTTGCAGGCGGTTCCCCGGGGACATGTGAGCCATTGTTAAGCAGGCTGTTCATACAGCTATATCCTTCCTTCTGCTGAGGAGGAGCTTGGTGCCAAAAGGCTGCTATCTGGTCATTGCCTTAACCCTCCAACTACCAGCCAGAAATAATTGCTTTCAAGAGTCTTTGAGGGCTCTGTCAGAGAGGTACTGTTAGGATGTTCCTAATGCAAAAAAGCAATTCCTGATTCTGCCTCTGCTTATTGTTGCACTGCCAGGGGCACTGATGTTGATTCATATCCCTTCAGCCATATGAGAAACAGATTCACTGTGCTTACTTGTTTCTTTCCTCATAGGAACACTGGGTGGGGACAGAAAAATAAAAAAATAAGAAAAACAGGTGTTCCTGTAGAGCTTTTGTTACTATCTGGAAAACACACCGGTGATACTCCTTTTCCCAGTTTCAACTATTGCCCTCTCCAAGCTTCAGTAGTCTGTCACCATCAAACACTGAGCTGAACACAACCTTCCAGCTAATCTGCACGTACCCAAAAAGTCATGTGGATCCACATACTGCACCCACAAAATCTGATCCAAAAATTGAATTTCTTTTCTGAAGTTTGGGCAGTCAGAGGAGGATTTCAACCAAATGGGAACAAAAGGGCAGGTTTGCAGATGTTTTCAAATAATTAAAATCTCCAGCAGACCTGACATGTTACACCCTAAGAATTTCAGCAAAATAAATTCTTTTATCAACATAAAATAATGTAAGCACTATTATATAAAATATTATCTTCATAAGACATAACTTAAAATAAAATACTGAAGTTAGACGACTTTGCTGCTAGTTTTTCAAAGTAAATGTTTTTGAAGTTAACAAAGCAAAATGATTAAGTCAGAAGGATTAATTTTGACATTTTCATACTAAAACTAACACTGAATATATAGGAATATATCATATATTCCTATGGCATTTTGAAATTATGCATTTTTTCAAGAAAAATAATTAAATTTAAAATTTTTCATCCACCTCTGCTTCTTCATGGAATATTCCTTTTAAGAAAATATTCGATAACATAAAGATGCAGGATGAAAGAGTTCTAGAAATTGCTTCCAAATCAGCCTTCAGTTACTTATGCATAATAATATGGGTAATATGCTACTCTGTATTTACAGCCATCTTAGAGCAATTTAAAGTGGGAAAAAACATCTACGACCTTTCATTTCATAAGGTATGACTACAGTAATTAACCAGATATGCAGCAAAAGAACTTACGTTGCATCCAATACTGAGTAAGAATATAGATATTAATAATTCATAAGGAATATATTAGAAGTAAACACGGTCAATAAAGTCTTAAAGGTTTATGGGGAGGGTGGAGAAAAGGGAGTATCAGCCTCCAGTGCTGCGGGGAAGCAGCAAACTGGAATTTGCACAGGATTGTAGAAAGGCCAGGTGGTCTCAGAGGCTGTCTTGTTAGCATACTGATATCCTGCCCTGAATTTCAGTCTGGTAATTACACGTGGCCCGTTCAAATCCCTTCTGTAGTTTTATTTTGCTGTGGCTTTTTCTGGCTCCTTTCTTGAATTGTTGCATAGCATCACTGTGTGAAGTTGTGGCTGCTACTTTTGCACGATCCTCTGCAGAGTGCATTACTTAATTTCTGCTTTTTTAGTGTTTCAAACTATTAAGCACTTAAACTTCTATTTGGATGGTTGTACTAAACAAATGTCAGATATGTTTATTGTCCTCAAACATTTGTGGCACATAAACGATCACAGGGCAAAAAAAACCAAAACTGTGTGAGGATGAATGATACTGAAGAGAAAGGGAGTAAACCACAGTCCATTATTTTGTGCTACACAAGCAGAACCTGGATAAAGAAAGAAAATCAGACTGATTTATGCTAATTTTTGAATGCAAGTGCAGTATGTGTTAGCAGGCTTTGTTTTTCTATTCTATCATATCATAAGACAATAATATCAGAGAAATGTACTATAGGTTAATACCTCTGCCACCAAATGCACTTACCTTACATTTAAAGGGTTTGACATCAGAGTGAACAATCATATGGGCCTTGAGAGTCTGCTTTTGCACAAAGCTCTTGAAGCACAAATGGCATTGATAGGCTCTGATATTGGTGTGAATCAGGACATGTCGCTTCATGTTGGCCAGCAGGGTAAATTCCCGGCCACAAATTCCACATTTGTGCTCTTTCACACCCTGAAAAAAAAGAAAAAAAATCTGTAGATGGAAAATTTTCTTGGTAATTCAATTGTCAGTACAGCAATTTATGAATTATTCATTCTGCATTAGCAGAGTTGATAATAAATTATTTAACTTTCAACATTTTTCAAGGTACCTATGTATTTTCTCCTGACAAATTCTTGCAAGCTTCTGAGAAACAGAAAAGTAAAACAAAATGTAAGCTTAATGAAATAATGAAGTCTGTTTTCAAATCAGACATAATCAGTGTCAGAGCTTCCCTTTCCTGCTCTGCTGCTTAATTAAAGTATTGATCAAACTTATAAAGTTACTGACGAAGAATAAAAGCCACAAGTTAAAAGACCAAAGCAATGCTTGCCTTTAATAATAGAATGTGACTGGATTATGAAAAGCTCTGTTTTGAAGAAAGTTACAGAAAATAATCTGAAGCAACTGAGACTAGTCAAGCAATATCACCAAATAAGATTATACATCTTACATTTGTTGCAGAGAGAAAAAACCTGTTCATTCTTAGTGGGATTTTCAGTAACCTTAGTGGAATTATTTCATTTTATATGAGATTTATAGAACATTTCTATCACTTCTTATGCTATCCACTCAATTTAGTACTGCATAATTCAATATTATTACTCACACATCTGTGGTCTGTCAGCTTCTCAAACAGTGATTTAAATACTATGAAAATCAAAGAATTTGTTATTAAAGAGCTTAAGCGTTTCACTTGCTGAAGGTAATAAGGATTTACTAGTGAGGTGCTGAGAGCAATTACTCCTTCTTCAGGCCTTCTTTAAAAAGATGTGAAATGACTGTTGGTGGTTTTCGCAGTTAATTACAAAACTAAAACTGAACATCACCAGCAGTTTCAAGTGTCTGCTCATCTGATATGTGGCTGCATTTAGTCAGCTCAGAGCTATAAATTATATTCGCAGCTGAATTCACCTGAGGCTGTCGACAAAGAAGCAGAAGCCCTCTAAAGACTATGAGGCATTTCATCTCCTGTGACAAAAAAACTACCAAGTCTTCAATTAGTGGAATCTTTTATGGTAAATCCGAAGACCAGGGAATCTCCAGAAAGAACAGAAATCATAAGCATGAAGCAGAAAAGAAAAAGCAAATGTGGAAGTAGAGGTTGTCTGGTTTTCAAAGAATACATGACTATAATACTCAAGTGCTGTAGCTTTCTGTATTTTTAATGTTTTTCATTAAACGTGCCAAAAGTCAAATACTAATTCAAATGCAAATCTGGAAGCAAACTTTTTTTTAAGTGAAAGATTTTGATTTGTCTTATTATTTTTGTAAAAGTGGATACTCTAATTCAGAGCTTCTTGAATAGAGCAATTGCATTTTTCCTATTTTTGAAAGCAATATTTCCAGAAATGTTCCAAAGCATTCTCCTACCCTAATCCGACTCTTCTGTCACCACTGTAGGCAGTGGCAAGATTGCCCCTTGATATGAACTGCCTGTGATTATGATCCTACTTGTCCATTTCTATTAACTGGCATCCTGGATAACATATGTACAAAGGGGAATTTTTCTTAGGGTTGTTTAGTTTTTTAAATGTCTCATTATAATGATTCTTCAAAATCTGATGAGTAATAACATACTTTTTTTTGCTGCAGTCCACTACAAACCCATGTACTTCCTAATTAAGGGAACAAAGTATCAGAACTGGCTCCCAGTAAAATAATCTCTTAAAATTACGGGATAAGGGGGTGATTATACAGCTCTGCAACATTTTACAGAAGGCCACTCCAAAAAAAAAAATAAAACCCAAGAAACAGAGACATATGAATCCAGTTTGGGGAAGTGATACAGGGGGTTTAATTGAATTCCTGCTTATAACAAATTTGGGTTTGCATGTACTTTCTTAAGGCTGACAATGACATATGGCTGATACGACTGCCAGCAATGCTGGGGTTTCTGCATAAGCCTCTGCAGCTGACAAGAGGCCACATTTCTGAGGAGGTACCTATACGTATCTTTAGTAGCCTGTAATCCTTGTACTACCTTCAGATGCAAAGTGAGAGCTGGCATACCTTGTGAGTCAGGGAGTGTTGCTTCAGGTGGTGAGGCTGCACAAACTCCATGCCGCATTCAGTGCAGATGTATGGGCGGATGTCTTTGTGCTTCATCATGTGGTTTTGCAGCTGGCTTGGGTATTGGAAGGTCTTATCACATTCGGTGCAATTGTACTGTATAGGGCCACGGTGAGTGGTTAGGTGTCTCTTCAGCTGGGCCAGAGTTGGAAAGTCCAGACCACACTCCACACAAATGTTTTCTCGCCCACTCTCGTGCTTAGACTCGTGTGCTTTCAGCTCACTGGGGTAGGCAAAACCCCTGCCACAGATCCTGCAGTTGTAAGGTTTGATGTCACTGTGCTGCATCATGTGTCTCTTAAGGTGACTGGTTTGAGTGAAAGCCTTGTGGCACACCTGGCACTTATGTGGCCGGGTGCCCTGGTGTGTCAACATATGTGTGTGCAAGTGGCTCAGCTGCTTGAAAAGCTTGCCACACCGGGTGCAAGCATGTGGCTTAATGCCACTGTGACCCAAGATATGGGTGACCAAATTATACTTGGATGTATAGGATTTCTCACACATTGGACATTGCCAGCGTTTCTGTTCACCCCCCACATCAACATAGTAGCTGTCATCTATCTGAAGGTTGACATCTACTCTTTCCACTTTCTGTTTGTTTTCACCACTTTCTCTTACTTCAGTCCTCCTAAAGGGGGGTTCTGGAGGTCTTTTCATTTGAAAAGGGTTCCTGAAATGAAAGTTTGGTGGTACAATAAAAGGAAACATTAAGCCAGGGTGGACTTTAGGATAATAAGGGTAAGGAGCCTGCATGAATGCTGGGCCACTGGGCCATGCCATGTTAGGCTTCACTGGTTCTTGCTTAATGGGCTTGGCTCCAAAATGCTCCAGAGTTCTGTAGAACTGAAAACCAAAGTTGCAGAGGTCAATCATCTGGGAACTGTACTTGGGCTGAGCTGGCTGTTGGAACACCAAGGGGAGACTGGAAGAGCCTATGTCATTGTGATCTTCAGCTCTATCTGGTGATGATGAGGAATCCTCAATGGTGATGGGAGGAGGCATTTTTGTTGGCATGCTCTTGCGTTTACGAGACCCTCCTTCCAAGGACCCCGGGAATGTTTCCATGTTTTCAAGAGGAGGAGGACCATAGCGGAAATGAGAGAGGTGTGTCCTGAATTCTTCATCAAATTGAGTTGTTCTGTGTGGCTTTGTAATGGGGCTGAGTGGCTGCAGGCAGTGAGAAAAGGGAGAGGCTCGGGTATTGTCCACATTAAAACTTGTTTCTTCGTTCTTCATCATATTCAATTTTCTTCTCTGTGGCCAAAATTCCTTAAAATAAGCAAAAGAACCCCAAATATGTTCATTTCTTCCTGTTTTTCTGGATTTAACATTCTATTGACCATTTTATTGTTTTGAAGGTTGCTGGGTTTTTAAAATGAATAAAACTAAGGATTTCTTAGGTTCGTATAAGACAAAGGGCTTTTAAAGAAGAATTAAATAGGTAAGCAGAAAGCAAAAACGCTTTGGTCTTCCTGCAGCAGGTCTGACCCACACATTTTTACAACACAAACATTCTGTACTGCAGCACACTACTTCACAGATGAATCAGTATGGCAATGTTTCTCCCTAATTTAATTCAGTCAGTCTGTTTGTGGGCAAAATTCTGTCCTTGGCTGCACATGAACAGGCTCTAGAAACTGGCAGTGCATCTAAAGGATATGGCAATACAAACAATTATATACACATTTTTTATGGTTGTGACATGAAAAGCTAAAGCCAAAAAATGTTAAACTTCTTTGTATCATTAACATGTGCTGCTGTGAGAGAAAACAATGGCCAAGTGATCTAAGGACACTGTGTACCATCAGGTTTTGAGCCATGTTTCCTGGCTACTCGCACTTTGTATTGTAATAAGAAGGCGGAGATTAATTTATTTTCTTTGTTATAATCACAGAGATATTTGCCTGGCAGATCTGGGGGAGGAAAGACATTTGACAACTCTCCAAATTACATTCTGTTTAATAGGCTTTATCTAAGATTTTTTTATTTGTTTGTTTGTTTCTAAACAGGTGGGCAAAAGCACCACTATAAAACTAAACAAAGAACTTTGATGTCAACAAAACATCTGGGACTCCAGAGTAGCTGACACCTAAAAATGCTCTGAGCATATCTGATGATACAATGTGATGAGGCAGATTAATAATTTTCTCCTGGCAAAACTTTATGTTCCACTGATCATATGGGGAACTTCATCTGAATTTGTGTTCATCTAAAACATTGGTTATAAATTTCATAAACAAAGCTGCTACCTTTTCCCTTGTCCTTCTAGAGTCATAGAATCAGAAAATTTTCATTAGAAAAAACCTTTAAGATCATCAATTCCAGCCATTAAATGCTGAAGCCACCACAAAAACATCTACGTCTAAGTAGCACATCTACACACCTTTTAAATACCTCCAAGGATGGAGACTCAATCACTTCTGTGGGCAGCCTGGTTCAGTTCTTGACCACCTTTTTTGTGAAGAGGTTTTTTCCCTGGAACAACTTGAGGCCATTTCCTCTTGTCCTGTCACTTGTTACCTGGGAGAAGGGGCAAATACCCACCTGGTTACAACTTCCTTTCAAGCAGCTGTAGAGAGTGATAATGTTACCCTGAAGTCCTTTTCTCCAGACTAAACAACCCCAGCTTCCTCAGACACTCATCACAGGACTTGTGCTCCAGACCCTTCACCAGTTCCACTGCCCTTCTCTGGACTCACTCCAGCACTTCAGTGTCCTTCTTGGACTGAGGGGTCCAAAGCTGAACACAGGATTTAAGGTGTGGCCTCACCAGTGCCAAGTACAGGGGGACAATCCCTGCCCTGTTCCTGCTGGCCACACTATTGCTGGAACAGGCCAGGATGCCATTGGCCTTCTTGGCCACCTGGGCACTGCTGGCTCATGTTCAGCTGCTGTCACCAGCACCCCCAGGTCCTTTTCCTGAGGGCAGCTTTGCAGCCACTCTGCCCCAGCCTGTGGCACTGCCTGGGGCTGTTGTGACCCAAGGGCAGGACCCAGCACTGGCCTTGTTGAACCTCACACCACTGGCCTTGGGCCATGATCCAGCCTGCCCAGATCCCTCTGCAGAGCCTCCCTGCCCTCCAGCACAACAACACTCCCACCCAGCTTGGACTCATCTGCAAATTTAGTGAATGTACACTTGATCCCACATTCATCAAAAAAGATATTAAACAGAACTGGCTCCAGTACTGAGCCCTGGGGAACACCACTGGTAGCCATCTGCCAGCTGGATGTAACTCCATTCACTACCACTCTCTGGGCCAGTGCATCCTGACTTTTTTTTTTTTTAAATGGGAAATAGTGTACACACGAAGCCATGAGCTGTCTGTTTCTCCAGGAGAACTCTGTGGGAAATACTGTGAGAAGCTTTGTTGAAGTCTAGGAAGACAGAATACATAGCTTTTCCTTCTTTCACTAAGCAAGTCATAGAAGGAGTTCCTGCTGGGGAAGTAGGACTTGCCTTTCATGAACCCACGCTGGCTGAGCTTGACCCCCTCCCGCGCTGCTCTGTACATGCTGTGTGATGGCACTCAGGATGAACAGCTCCACAACCCTCCTTCAAACCCTTCCTGTAAGTGGCAGTCATATTTGCTAACCTCCAGTTGACTGGGACCTCCTCTGGGATATCCAGAGTGCTGGTAAATGATGGAAAGTAGCTCCGTGAGCACTTTCACCAGCTCCCTTGTACCCTTGGGTGGATCCCATCAGTCCTACAGACTTGTGCCAGTCTAAGTATTGTAGCAGGTTGCTATTTCCCCTTGGATTATGGGGGCTTCATTTGGTTTCCTGTCTCTGTCTTCCAGTTCAGAGGCCTGAGCACCCTGAGAATGACTGGTCTGACTATGTGAGACTGAAGAAAAAAGGCACAAAGTACCTCAGCCTTTTCTTCACCATTTGACATTAAGTTTCACCCAACATCCAACAAAGAGTGAAGGTTCTCCTTGGCTCACTTTTTGATGTGAATGTATATATAGAACTTTCTGTGTTATTTTTTGTGGCAGTAGCTGGATTAAGTTGGAGCTAGGCTCTGGCCTCTCCGGTTTTCTCTCTGCATAAGCTCGTGACATCCTTGTAGCCCTCCTGAGGGATGCACTTACATGAATGTGTTTGTGTGCATGTATCTAGCCAACCAGGCAAAGGTTGGGTTGGAAAACTAGACATATTTTCCCTCTATCATCTGTGACATGTTGATTCTATTTATACCATAATTCTTGGAAATGCTGGGTGGAGAGCATGAAGGTGAGTGGAGCACTAAATACAATCCTATTTCTATTTCAGGAAGCTCCATGCTGGATAAGCCTTCTTCTAAAGATAGATGAAAGCACATCTCTGTGACCTAGTTAGGCCATGGGCAAGAGAAGGCACTTTAAAAAACTTTCTGCAAACAGATTGTTTCCTTCTAATAGTGTAGACTGAGTAATTATCTTTGAGATGAAAGTGTGAAGCTAAAGGCTCAGTGACAAAACTCTGAGACGGAAAGTTTAGACAAAAGGATCAAACAACTCACAAAAGAGGACTAACTGAAGGAAAAATTGAAGGATATCTAAACTTATGACTCAAAATCCACATTGGATATAGGGAAAGGATAAAATAATTGCTTACAACTTGGACAAGTATCTCCTAATTATACCATGATATTACTTTCAGTCACTAGTGCACTGACTGGAAATAGTGCACATATACATACACAATATCAATTCAAGTGATCATGGAATGTCCTGATTTTGAAGGGACCCACAAGGATCATCCAAGTCCAACTCCTGGCCCTGCATAGGACACTGTGAAACATTATACCATGTACCTGAGGGCGTTGTCCAAATGCTTCTTGCACTCTGTCAGGCTTGGTGGTGTGACCACTTCCCTTCCCTGGGAGCCTCTTCCAGGGCTGAACCACCATATGAGTGAAACACCTTTTTTGATCTTCAAACCAAATGTCCTCTGCCTCTCTATCAGGCTGTTTCCTCAATTCCTGTCACTGGTCACCAGAGTGAAGAGATTGGTACCTGCCCTGCCTCTTCCCCTCATGAGGAAGTTGTAGACTGCAATGAGGTCTCCCCTCAGTCTCGTCTTCTCCAGGCTGAACAGGACAAATGACCTCAGCTGCTCCTCATATGGAATCCCCTCAAGGCCCTTCACCATCTTCATTTATATCCTTCATATAATGTGGTCCCAAAACTGCACACTGTGTCTGTGTGTATGTGTGCATATATATGTAATATATGTGTGTATATTCCACAGACAGAATTTTTACTGGATATTCACCCTAATGTTTCCTTGTCACCCTAGCTCCCTGGTCAGAATAAGGAACAGTTAGACCTTGGAAACTCTTTGGGTACAAAGGTTTGGCTTATTTAAAAGGGAGAAGGAGAAGGGAGTCCCCTGAATATTGAAAAATTCTCAACTTCTTTCCAAAAGAAAAAAAATTTCTTTTAAGAATCCTTTTTAGCAAAGTCACACAATTTGAACATAAGGCTTATAGATCAAAATCTTCCCGATAAAGTATGTGCCTCAAACATCTTTCAACTTTGTATCTCATTTTTCCCCAGCAATAAGGGTATAAAATTCTTTAGAAAGCCCATAGCAACTGAGGACCCAGCTATGTTATTTACTGCTTTTGTTGGATTACTAGAATGCTGCCAAAAGTATACAGAAATGACAGTGAGATTTTCCTAACTGCTCCCTTGTTTCTTGGCTGCCAGTTACTCCCTTCTTCATACAGTTTTCTGCAAAGTTTCACTCTTTCTGGAACACAGAGCTGTAGAACTCCTTGAAATTACTAGAAAGAAGCATTTTCTTTGCACTACTGACCTTTGACTGCTTTCACTGAGCATACGGATTTATTCCACTGGCCACAGCTACAGGCATCACAGGACCAATCCTACAAGGGAAAGTGTTTATAGTCAGTGACCAACACAATCAGAAACATGCTGTATAATCAAACACAAGAGGACTTAAAAGGAAGAAGGAAGTCTAAATATGGATGATCTTTTTGGTTTTTCTCCCCCTGAAAAATCGCCATGATATATATTTACGTTAATTATTTCTTCTTTCATACTGGTGGCAAAGCCTTGCTAATTTGAATGGAGGCATGCTCTTAAGTATGTCCAGAACTTAATTCCACAAAAACATGAGTTCTGAGGAAACTATAGATGAGACAACAGATTTGACCCCAATGCAAAATATACTTAGGGAACAGTCCCTTGTTCTTTAAATAACTTCAGCAGAGAACTTTGAAGTTTTAGTAGAGGTCCACAGTGCTCTTTTTCTACCTCACTCTGGAGTAGCAGATGTCATTTTGATACTCAGCAAAAAATAAGGCAGAGAGAGAGTTTGAATTTCAATTTTTTGGCATTATTTTAATATTTATTTTTATTTAGATATTTTTGTTTTCAAATATCACCTAGGGGCCTTTTTGTTTCCTATATAAGGATTTTGAAACTCCTTTCTTTCTGCAGAACTTATTATTTTAAATGTAGTGCTATGTAGTGTGATTCTAAACATTGGACAGTCATTGAAAATTCTAGCTTTTATCAGTAATATGTAAGCTACTAGGTTTTGAGAACTTGGTCTGGAAACTCACTGAAACAGAGACTTCCATGCTGTATTGGGCCTTAAAGATAAGACTCCCCCCACTAAACTGACCACTCCAGAACTAAAGTCAGTTTCTGTGGAAGAGACAAGCATCCTCAAATTCTATTTCTTTATGTAAATAGAAATAGAGTATTTTGAAGAATAGGATGACAAATTAACTCTTCCTGTCCTTTCAAATCAAGAAAAAAAAGTTACAGTGAGTTGAGATAGTTGTAGGAATTACCGAAATAGAATATCTATGCAGCAGCTAATAATCTTGTTGACTTCCATGAAGGAGGAAGAGATTTTAATTCAGAATATAAATCACCATTTACTTCATGTCCACTCATTTCTCAGACAAAGGATTAAAGAAAGTATGTAAATGATGTTATTTATTCACTGTACAAGCAAATATGTTGTTACAGTCTCCAGTTAATACCCAGTACTGGAGTCAACAGCTAATTTTCTTAACGATTTAGTAGAATCAAGATTCTGCTTCCTGGATGAAAGTACTTTCTGTCTATAGACTAATAATACGTCCAGCCATAAAAATGTGAGGTTATGAAGTTTCTCAAATTTAAACACTGACTACAACTCTTCAGATTTTTCTCCTGGGCACCACAATCATAAATCCAGAAATAAGGCTGAGTGAAAGAGATATGACAAAGGTAAAAAGGTTGCTTTATTAGGAGGTTTGCACTTATGTTTGCTTTTTCAGAAGAAGATGAAACAGACAAAAATGGAGGAAGTCTTAATGGGGCCAAACTGGCTGAGCAGGTTCTTTTCTCTGCAAATTTCATGTTTAATCGAATGAAGGATTGTAGAAACTATGCCCTTTAAGAGTGCAATTCTGCTCTCCTTCTGAGGCCTGAAATATGGGCATTTACATGCAAAAAATTAAAACTAACAGCTGTTTCTGTTGGATGTTGTAAGGATTACTGACAAAATTAACACTATTATGTTTCTTGAGCTAAAGTTCAGCAGTTGGTGAGCTTCAGCTTTATTGAGCAACCAGCTGGGTTTTTTTCAATCACTGATTCTTGTCAACTGGTATTATGTCAATAATTATCATTATCTTAATAGGTTTAATGAGCTCTTAGTCTGCTTTTCCAAATATGTTTTGGTTTAAATTTATTCGGTTATACAGCTGTTGAGCTTAGCAGCAAATTATTAGCACAGTTTTCTCTCATTTGCTATTTATGCAAAACTTGCATCTGTCTCAAGATCTGGCTGAAGGACTTTATTATACTGAATAAGTTTTATTTCAGCAGTGAAGTGCTCCCTACTGAATCTAGACTGCTTTAACTTATTTGTCAGATTTTGAAAATGCCAAGAACACCTGTACTAAGGTGAAAATGTCCACTACTGGTAACCAAGTATTTTCGAGTAGTATACATCTGGTCCCTCCTTACAATTTTCCTTGTTATTTTCCTTCAATGAAAGCATGAATCCTTCTAGGCAGAAGGTAATAAAACACGTAAAACCTACATCAGAATTTCTCTAAAATCAGTGTCAAACCTACCATCCTATTCTTTAGAGAAGCCAGTGCAAAGTATACTCTCCATCCATGTTATCCAGGCATAAATATTCAGATTTCAAGCAGAACATTTTGAAAAATGACCCCATTAACATATATGGAGTGTATGGTAATAAATTCAATCTGAGTACATAAACTGTGTGCATATTATATATAAACCAAGTATTTATTAAGACACCCAAATCAACCTTCAAGTTTCTATGCTACAATATTTGAAGCTAACCTAAAAAATTATTTATGTTTTAAATGAAAAAAACACTTCTTCTGCCATAGTTTGGAGCTGGGAGAAGACAAAAATTTGGACTACCTTGTGAAACTTGTATTACCTATATTATTTATACCATAAATAAATATGGATTTACAGAAAGTATCCAAAACCAATGAGTGGAGGTGTTGATGAGGAGACACAAATAGACTGCAAGCTTTTAGAAAAACAAAACTGAGCTGGGAATAATAGTCATTGCACATAGTCAAATCCTTTTCAATACCACTTCTACAAACACTTGATTTCTCAGTCTCACATGCATGTAGACCCAAAATCAAGTGAAGTCCATGATTTAACCATTAACTTAATTGTCTATGGAGATAAGGTTTCTTGCCCCGTGCCTTTTACAAGGGATATGTCTAGTTAAATGGAGACCACTATCAAGATGAAGATATTGCCATAAATATTCCTCTTCCCTTTTTGGATTACCATCACTACTGGAACTGGAATTGGAAATAAGTAAACAGTTGTTCGTGAACATGGTTTGGAATGACTGAAAATGAGAAGTGGACCAGATCAGGTTTTTTCTTCCTACATTAGTATTATAGTACAAAAAAGATTACTGTCTTTTCACTTCTCCCTGGGAAATTACCTTTATCTGCTGGTAGTAGGCTTCAGGATAAAACTTCTTCTTTCATCAACAAATGTGGGGTTTTTTTCAGTGAATGCTTGGTAAAAGAAAAGTGATAACCTTTGTAATTCTTCATAGGACATGATCAGACCTCACTAAGGCCTGTGGGAAGACTTCCAATGACATCTGAAAGTCCTTCTCACAGTTTGCCTTATTATTTGTTATGGGTTCTGTTGCCCAGTGAGATAGGAACACATCTACTCCTCAGACAAACGAAAAAACACTTGTATCTACAGAACATGTGTCAGCAAGTGGCTACCTTTGCAGACAAGCTTAATGAAAATCAAAGAGTTAGTTGATTAAAATCTGGCAGCTTGACATGACAGAGTAAACAGATACAACAAATAATGAACTTTCAAGGGTATCTTATTTATTATTTTTTTTCCCCTTCATTTGCTATTTTGGTATCATCCTAGCTTCATGTTCGAAGTTCAGTCATTTTAGAAATTCCTTCTGGTCTAAGGGCTTCCTATCCAGCATAGCTGCATTAATATTGTCTAGGAGGTGTCACCAATACAAAGAAATGGGTCTTCTCACAGAAAATTGTACAGTAGAAATAATCTCCCTGCCTTGTCTTTGCTCCTCCCAAATTTTAACATTTTAACTTGCATAATTTTTGTATATTAGCTGAGAAATGCAGAGGTTTAACATAACCATTTGCCTACACTGACTACAGTCTTTGAACTCATCTTGGATTTGTGTTTAACTTGTATTCATTTGTTTCTTTTTACTCATTTTTAGAGAGCTAGGCACTATGAGAACTTCCACAAGAGTATAGTTACATTGGTGTTCATTATAATAGAGAAAATGCCTTAAAATAGTATCACAATGATACATATTCACTTTTCCATAACTTACAGATCATTTTTATTTTGATAATTACTGAAAGTATTAAACTAGATTTCCAGATGTCCTCTGAAAGTCTGGAGCAGTCCCACTGTGCAGCCTGGCAAAACTAGGGTGATATTTGTGGCATCAGATGTGTTTATAGGGTTTATGGCATAATTTGTGTTCCATGTTTGCATTGGTTAGATTTAAACCAAAAATAAGTTGACAGATGCTGTAGCGAGGTAACTGCAGATATATTTCTTCTCTCCAATGTGAGTGCTTAGTTGTCAGTTTAGCAAAATGGTTTGCTATCCCTCTTGTTGCTTTTATGTGTGCTTATTCTAGGGACACCTTTGCTATCATTCTCGCTACTCTAACCAGGGAGTGGCTGAAGGTGGCAGAGCAGTGTGTCTGGGTTACCCACAGATCATCTACCCTTACTGGCTTACTGGTAATGCTTCTAGCAGTACTTAGCCCTGTGGACCTCTCTAGTCATTTCAGGTTATGAACAAAGTAATTTTTGAGTATAATTTAGGCTGCTGTTTTGGTTCTTTATTTTTCTTTTTCTTATCCTCCTTTCCCCTTTTTTTCTCTTTTTTGCTTCCTCTTTGTGAGTTTTCTTGGTCCTTCTCTTACATGTTCTTCTCTCTTCACTTCTGTATTCCATCTGTTGTTCACTCCCTCTCTACTTCTCTATTCTGTTTGCTAAAATGATCAGCAAGACAGGGACAACCTGCATAAAGAAATTAATGTTAAGTCAACAGACTCTGAAGTGTTATCTGCTTACACAAAGTCACCTCAAACCACAGCTACACATGATGGGAGCCTGCAAGGCACAGCAAATTATATGGTCTGAAAGTGTGTAAGGGGACAAAGATTTTATGTCTTCAGCTGAGCACCTGCATCTGCCTAATTTGCTGGTACTAACATAAAATTCAGAACTGCTTTGGTGTGGGACACATATTGAGAAAGTAAGAAAATTACAGCCTGAAAAATATTCCAGGCTGCAGCTTCTCAGCTCTGTTCCCAGCTGATAAGCTGGTCCAGCTCAAGGCTAGGGAGAATTTCTCCCAGGGTGATAATTTGGTCAAAATAAAAAGGAATTAATAACAAGATAGAACACCTGTTGTGGTGTGTGACCAGGCCCTGGGAATGGGGTGTCTTCTCTCTGAACCAATCACCTCTTCTCTGCTCTTGGAATTGCGAGTCATGCTATAAAACCAAGTGTGTTTCTGAATAAACTTGTCTCTTTCTTCCTTTCATAAAAGACAACCATGTAGCTGTGCATCTTATTTCCTCTGCACTTAAAGGGTTAAAACCCTTTTCCACGGCTACACTTTAGAGTGCAAGGGAGAGGGAACAGCTGTTTGCTGGCAGACCTCTGGATCCACCGTGTAGCCCTTCCCCATCCCTGCCCACAGCAGAGTGGGCTCTGCCCAACCTCTTGCCTTTTGCTGTTCCTCCACAAAAACCTGCAAAGTGTAGCTTAGAGGAAACAGAACCTCTGGTGAGGCACGGGAGGATGTAAAACCAGGCATGTCAGCTCAGGCTAGCAGTGTAGCTAACCCAAGACACTGCTCTTGTGAAGAATACAAGAAACAGGAAGGCATAATATGTCAATTTTCCAGCCTGATCTTCAGGCATCCTAAAAAACTTCCTGCAAACAGATTGTAACCTGAAGTTATACCTGGGAGCAGTCGGACTCCAGAGGGTTGGAGTCCGCAGCCACTAACAATCACATCTGTCTTGCCTCTGCTCCCCACCTCTAGGCACTTGTACTTTTATTAGTCTAAAGGTCCAGCTCCAGCCAAAGGAGACCAGAGTCACCAGTACAGGCTTCAGCTAGGGCACCTCCCTAAGAGGTTAGAGATGTGGGTCCAAACTTCTTGGGAGGGAAATTAATCAGTCTCCCATCTTGTGGCTGTTGTATTTTTCCCAAAATTTGATGTTGTCAGCATATATTCAGTTACATGTAAGTATTCTTACAGGACTTGTTTCGTGAGAGCACTTGGGCATAGGTATCCCACGTTTTCAGACCCTGCTCAAAGCTCTGGGCTGACAGGATCAGGTTGGCCATAATGGTTACCTTTGCAGCACTTGTAGTAGAAGAGTTCCAAATGTGCAAAGTGTAACTGGTGCCAGTAGACAGGGTGGAAAATGCAATTTGATCTTACCCTTACTAGGCATTAGAATTAATGATGGATTGGCCAGCTCAGTTAATTACTCAATTAAACAACTCTCATCCTAAGCAGCTGACTTAATTTTGTCTCTGACATCATCTATGTTGTACTGAAACAATTATGGAATATCTGGGGTGTAGCTGAGAACAAGATTCGGGATTAGACTACTGTGAGATGATGACAATTAGACAAATTTCTTCCTTTTCGTAAATTGATAAGGTGATTTCATGTCATAGGCTGGAAGCATGGATGTGTCCCTGCCTTTATGAAGTATGTGGAGTCACTTTAATCACTGTTTATAGAAGTCCTATCACTCCATTCCTGTTTCCTCTCTATCCCATATTTGCCATTGCAAATTAAAATAATACATTTTTGGCACTGTAGGAATACTATGTGTTAAATAGTTTTTCCTCTGGGAAATTCTCAAATAACATCCATGAAGCTTTAGGATTTTTTTCTCTCCATACAAATATAAAAAGAGATAGAGTGAAGAAAAGAACAAATGAATAATATAAATATTAGGAAGGATTTTGTAGTAAATTAACAATGTTTGATAGAGTGTAGAATCCTTAAAGAACACTTTGGGTATAATCTTTCCACCTACAATGCACAATCATTAAACACTATAAACAGAACAGAGAGGGTTTGAACTGTTATTTTAGGAAAAATAACAGCGCTATGAAGAACATCCAAAATTAGAATGATCAAAAAAGCATGCCCTTCCATAACCCTCCTATTTGAGCTGTTATTTTGAAAGCAAACCTTTCACTGGCATTCATGACCTTTAAAAAGGAAATACACTGTGCTTTCCTTCCCACTGTAATCCCAATGTCCTTATCACCTATGTGGAGGCCAGAGAGATGGTCTGCTCTCCTCCCATCTCTCTGTTGTCTTAAAGGGTAGCTAAGGGCCACCTTCAGCTTGGTTCTTCAAGCCAGACAGCTGACTCCCCCATCAGCAGTTAATGCACCTTATGGGCGCCACAGGTACCTCAGAAAAGAAAGGATCAGATAAAATGTGCACACATGATTGGAAAAAGGGCAAGGGAGAAGAGGATTGTATGGAAGAGATTTCATTTAAAGGTTCAAAACAGATAAAGTTTTAATGAAAGGCTATTTTTTTTAACATGGAAGAGTATTATTAGTCCTCAGCAGGACCATTGCTTTTCGTACTTCTTCTGTGCTCAATTCCTTGTTTCACACAATTCAAAACTCATAGTGAAACTGAAGGTTGCTAGAGCAGTAGGTACCATGTGTTTCAGTAAGACATGTTATATCCTACAAAAACTGAAAGAAGAGGATTTTACCCAAAAACTGACAGAAGTGAGTATATATTTATGTGTGTATGTGTGTATGCATGTGTGTGTGTGTGTGTGTGTGTGTGTGTGTATGTGTGTGTTTATAAAAACTTATCTGCTACCAAACAGATACCACTTCTCTTGGTGTCCAGTTATTAAAAGTAATTACCAGATAATGCTTTCCTATTCATTTTAGAAAGATGAACAAATTCTATTTCAGCTAAAGACTGAGCAGATTTCTTGCTGGAAAAGCTGCTTGGCTGTAAAGACTGATTAATCCTCATTAGCCTCTATTACTCACTTGTAATTAAGCTGGCTTAGTAATGACTTTGATATTTCCCTCTGAACCTAAGTACAACAGAAAATACAATAAAGGAATTAGACATATCAGTGCTTCTCTTAGGACACCATTGTGTTTATTTTATTGAGACTCAACAAGAAAAAAATAAGAATCGTATCAATAAGACAGCACGTAAAAAGGCTCTTAAGGCAAATTGCTGAAGCATTGGAAGGAATTTCTTTTGATATATCTGCCTTGTGATTAAGGAGTTCTGCTTTCCAAACTGCTAGAGCATAAAATCTCTGTCAAAGCTTTGAAACTGTGCTGAATATGCATTTATTGCCCAGAAAAATTATTGCTTGCATATATATCTTAAAATTTAATTCAATGAAGGTTCATTTTTTAAAGATAGTTTTGCTTACTTTGAAGAGAAATATGTTTATTTCTTCAGTTCCAGCATAGAATGGCACTTTTATCTGATCATATGAAGTACCTGCAAGAAGTAATTTAAGATACCTTCCTCTCTGCCTTTGCCCTTCATTTGTGGTGCCAAACTCAAATCTTGTCCTTGACTGAACAATAAAAATACTTTCCCTCTCTGATCCCCAAAACACATCCTGCATATCGTTCTTAATGATTTTGTTAACTTATAGAAACTTTTAAAAATAAGCACTAGTTTGTTGCCAAAACTGCAGAAAATCTGAAATTCAAAACAAATTTTATCTTGCTTCTGCTATTTTCATAAATTAGAAAACAAATTCCTTTGGTCAATATGAGGAAAAATTCTTGAGGTTAATTATTTTAAACTGAAACAGATTTCAAATGCTAGTTTTACTGAATTCAATACATTAGCATATTGAGTGGGAAAGACAGCTCAGACTTAGCCAAGTATCACCAGTGGATACTGGAACATTGACTAGAATCACAAATAAATAAGCA